TAAGATTTGATGTATCTGTGCAATGGAGTACCATGCAGCCTTTAATAAGGAAGTGGGCAGTAAGTTGATCAATGAATACTAAGTTACAGTGAGACAGGACCAAGAAGTGCTGGTGTATCCTTGCATGGCAAGGTGACTATAAGGAACAATCATGCACTATAAATTTCAAAAAGTTAGAAGAAAATACTTGAAAGTTTTCACCATAAAGAAATGATAAACATTTGAGGAGATAGATATGTTTAAGCATTATGCAATGTATACATATATCAAAATACTGTATGGTACCCCATTAATAAATGCAATTTTTATGTTAAAGGAAAAAGAGGTAGACAGTGTTGTGAAAATGTCCTCAATACCCATTTTTAGGCAGAAGTATGTTACAGTGAAAAGTTTGTGAAAAAATATCCCCCAACCTACCATATATGTTTGTGTACAGTTATCCCTCAGAATCCTCAGAAGATTGGGAGCAGGAAGCAATGGATATCAAAATTCATGGATTCTCAAGTCTCCAATATAAAATGGTGAAGTATTTTCATGTAACCTGCGTACATTCTTTCATATGTATTAATAAACCTCTAGATTACTTGTGGGATCTATATATATGCTATATAAATGCTATGTAAATAGATGTTATACTGTTATTTAGGGAATAATGACAAGATAAAAAGTTGGTACATTTTTTCCCTAAATATCTTCAATACACAGTTGAATCTGTGTGTAGGGAGGCCCAATTGTATGCTTCTAGGTATATGAATATTCACAGAAATCTATCTGAAAAGATATCGGTCCAGTTGTTATCTCTGGATTTGGGGCCCAGAAATGGAGTATGCTTCTTATTTTACTGCCCAAGCTATTTGTGAATATGTGCCTTAAATTAGTGGTCAATAGAGTGTCCTCTCTCCCATGACCACGTGTATAGCCAAGGGATGTAGCATCTCCCTTCACCATGACACCTGGTAATCACCTATTAAGGAATTATAGTCTTTTACCTGTATAATCTGGGCTCACTGAATGATTCTATGGCCCAAATAAGGAATCCATCTATTAGGGGAGATAGCTTTGGAACTGTTTAAATTGGAAGCTGAAACTGACTTGCTTTAGGTTTCTCAGAAAAGTGAACCACTAGGCACGGGATGAGGGTAATTGTATACGTATTGGAGGGAGGAGATTGGTTTTGATTAAGAAGGGAAATCGCTTTGCCACTTCCTAGTAGAGAAAAAGAAGACTGAGTCTGCCATCCACAAGACTCTGGGTTTCATATAATATTCCCATGTTCGGTAACAATAATGGTCAATGGCAAACTTGTGGTGACTTATTAAAGACAAGACTCCTCAGGATCTGCACACTGTGAGAATTACGTTTTGGGTCACTTCACTAGTAAAAAGAATCCTGACTCCACTGAGGTGCTGGGAGACAGGAAGGAATCATGACAAACTTGGTGGAAAGAGGAAACTATGATTGTCAATGTGAAAGAAGTCATGGAGAGATAAGCATATAGCAAAGGAAAGAAGGTTGCCTGCAAAGAGGCTGAAAGGGAACCAGCCTTTAGAAGGACAAGTTTACCATGCAAAAACTACACAGGTATTCCAAGGGAAACCTTGCAAGATTACCAGTGTTAATGAGTTTTGATCAGTATCCTCAGGCTGGCAAAACTCAGCACTTTCTGTTTTCATGAGATTTTCATGTTCACAGCAAGTCATGACACGTCTTTAGGCATCAGCATTGCAAAAGTCAGAGATAAGTTGTTTTTCTTAGGAAGTCAGCAATTTATGGGAAATACTCAAAGTTTATTTTGGGGACCAGAAAGAGAACTATGTTTTTTTTTTTTTTTAAATCCTCATGCAATTTATCAGCAAGATTTTCTCCCTTTGACTTTGTAAGGATGGCCTTAGGCCTTAGCTTAAGCAACTCCATTTTAAAACTCCAGTTTGAAACCTGCAGTCTCACCAGGCACACCTACGGAGCCCTCCAGTATGGCCCTCAGGCACCAAACAAGTCACTTCTCCCCACCTTGACAAGCTCAGAGTGAAGTCTCGGTTACAGTTGTCCTTGTCCTGATAAGGGGGAGAGGCAAGAAAATCAGGTTGGGGACCACCAGACCCCATGCTTTAATCCTAGGGCAAATGATATCACTGAGAAATCCAGTGTCAGCTGATAGGGATTGAAAAGGTGGCCAGAAGCCTCCAATTTTAGTATAAATGATGGAGAAAATGGCAGACATTCAGCCAGCCAACACTGATGCCCTCACAGTGGAGAGCCTGACAAGGACCTAGACTGACATCCCAACTCTTCTCATCCTGCCTGATCTTCTGTGTTGTTCTCAACACTCTCAAACTCTACAGCAGCCTCTTGACTCTGGTGAGAAAAGGACTTCTCCCTATGACGGCCTCCTCAGCCAGCTGTCAGCTCCACCCCAAGAGAAGCCTGCCTTGGTTCCTGACCAGATCACTGGGGTTTGAATGAGTGTGCATCTGCTGGACTTAGAGCCTAAGGCTTTTGATCAAAAGTCTGATCAAAATCAGACTTTTGATCTGACTCTTGAACTCAGCATGCAGAGGGAATGTCTGTCATGAGCCTGTCATGATTAAGTGTGTTTGCAGTGCTTAGAATTAATCTAGAATTGTTTGCTGTGAATTATGTCTATTGCAGTGTCTAGCATTAAGGATTATTGTTTTCTTGATTAAGAATCTATAGAGTGAAATTGTATTGAGTAATTTGAGTGAATAAAGCATTGAAAAGAGCAGAAGCATGTGGACATTCTTTATTTCTCCTCCTCAACTGCATAAGTCGTACCTTTGCCCATTGCGACAGACTTTCACTGTATATCCAGAATTTGAATGCCCCACCGTCTACATGTGCACACGAACGTTAGTTCTCACCTCAACCTCCTTACCTGTTGAGGCCATCTGTCTTCAGTGACAGCACAGTGGGGCATTAAAGTGCCCCTTCCCAGCCCAATGCTGAATGACAACACTGTTCCAATGCCAGAACTTCCTGTGTTATTTCACATAACATAATGCTCTTTAGTTCTATCCATTTTCCTTCAAATGACATAATTTAATTCTTTAGAGTTGAACAGAACTCCATGGTAGATATATACCACATTTTCTTGATCCATTTGTATGTTGACAAGTACCTAGGCTGATTCCATAATTTGGCTATTGTAAATTATTTTGATATAAACATGGGCATGCATGTATCACTAAAGTATGTTGACTTTAATTCTTTTGGATAAATACTGGGGAATGATATACATTTGGGTCACATGGTGGTTTCATTCCTAATCTTTTGAGGAACCTCCATAGAAGTTCCTCTATTTCCATAGAGGTTGTACTAATTTACAATCCTACCAACAGTGTAAAAGTGTTCCTTTTCTCCCCCTTATCCTCTTATTTATTTATTATTTGTATTCTTTAAGACTGCCATTCTAACCTGGAATCAGATGAAATCTCAGTGTAGTTTGGATTTGCATTTCCCTAATTTCTAAAGATGTTGAACATTTTTTTTCATATATTCTTTTGGCCATTTGTATTTCTTCTTTTGAGACATGTCTTTTTAGCTCATTTGAGACCTAACTTCTTAAAGATCCCACCACTTTCCAATAACATCAAGCTGGGAATCTAATCTCTAACACATGGCCTTTTGGGGACATTCCAGATTCAGACTATAACACCAACCTGAAACATATGCTAATCAACTTTTCCAAGAATAAATAAAAGCAAATCCAGAAAGCCAAACTGGAAACACCTGATGTGTTTATCAAAAGGGAAATGCTTCACAAAGGCATGATGAATATATGATGAAATGAGATGCAGGTGAACAAAGCATATTTTATAAGCTGATGTGCAGAAATGTTTCTGATACATTGTCAATTCATTTAAAAAAAACGCAAGTAGCAGAAGATAATTCAATTTAAATAGAAAAAATAATCTTCAAGGTATTTGCTTTGCTTCTCCACACACTGGATCCTTCCTCCTCCTTCTCTTCTTCTTCTTCTTTTTTTGTACTGGGGATTGAACTCAGGGGTGCTTTATGACTGAGCCGCATATCCAGTCCTTTTTTATTTTTTATTTTGAGACAGGTCTTGCAAAGTTGCTGAGGGTTTGTCCTCAAACTTGCCATTGTTTTGACTCGGTGCCCCCGGGTTGCTGGGATTACAGTGTGCACTACCATTCCCATCAGGTTTCTTCCTCTTGAAAGAGATGTGTGCATGGACTCAGAGCACACTCCTTGGGGAGTTTGTTGGGGCTCCTGGGATGACATGGAAGCCTATTTGTGAATAGTACCTGTGCAGAGAGTGAGGTCAAGGTGTTGGGCAGCAATGTTGGTTTAATTCCTGGGTGTCACCTCTACCTGGGAGACATGGAGATGTGATCTTGAAAATGTCACAAAGTGGCTCTCAACCTTGGCCCATCATCCAAAATTCCTCCCAAGATGCTTCTGCCAATCAGTTGGTTGTTTAAGACGGTGTCTTGAACAATTCCCAACACAGATTTGATGTTCAATAGAAGTTTTCTCCTTTTACTAATTCCTTCTCTCCCATTTTAGCCAGATATCCTAGTCTCTATCATCTTCTTTCCTCCTGAGTAAAGTGAGAAGAGTGAGGCTGGACCTGGGGAACTTGATGGCTGAGGCCCCAGAGGAGGCTCAGACACTGAATATTGGGGGTAGGACTGCACAAGACTAGAAAATGGGCTTCTCTAGTCCTGGAGGGCAAGATGGAAATACCAATAATTCTGAGAAATTTAGAGATAGGAAGTGAATGGAGATATAAGGAACAGGAGCAAAAATAACAGACTGTCCCTTCTGATCCAGCTCCACCTCTCACATGATAAAAATGAAGAAGTCAGGGGAGCTCCACTAAAGAGGAAAGAAAGGGAGTAGACACACCCTGTAGAATGAGACCAAAGCTGGCCCATGCCCAGCTCCCCCACATGCAATCTCTGTCTGTGTTCCAGTTGAAATTTATTCGAAGTATTATTTACTGTCCAAGGTTGAAGAAGAGGAACATCCCCAAATACAGAATCCTGGGCTTTGGGGCACAAAGACCAATAAGAGCCCATCATCTATATGGCTCCTCCTTTAGTCCCTCCCACCCCAGCTCTCCAGGATTTAGTTCTGGCTGCTCTGAGTGACTTCCCACCTTGTAGTCATTGCTGCACAACGAGGCCACAAATCACAGACTCCAGACTTCCTACAGGTAACTGGGCTGGGGATGCCAGTGGGCCCAAGGAGAAAGGGGATGTGTTTGAGGAAACAGGGAGAGGGGGCTTTGGTTCTTAGGTGGGAGAAAAGGGGAAGAAATAGGACGGGTCAGTGTGGGATTTAACAACCAAGTGGAGATTTGAGACTCTATTCCTGTCCCTGGATTCTAGATTGTATCATGCAGCCATAATCCCCAGTCACAGTTCCCATCTCTGGCCCAATTCCAGTCTGATCCTCAGCCCCAACTCCAGCCTCAGCCCCAAACCGAGCTCCTCCTGTAATGTCAACCTTGGCATCAACCCCAGATCCAACTTGAATCTCAACCCTGAGCCCAACCCCAAACTAAACCTCAGCCCTATTCTATTTCCAGGTTCAGTGCCAAGCTTAGGTCCAGTTCCATCCATGGCTCCAAGGTGACTTCTGATGCCTAATTCTGGCATGTGTCACAGCCTCAAGTCCAGTCCAATTTTAGGCCCAGTCAAAGCAACAGATTTAGCTTCAACTTCACTTCCATTGGTAAACCCAACTCAACTTGATTCTGGCCCAAAGCTCAATTCTGACTCCACTTGTAACCTGAACTCCAAACTCAGGCCCTAATCTAGGGCTCATTCTCCTGAGGAACCTCATTTCTTACCTCAGGTCCTCCCTGGTTTCAGCCTCCTCCTTGGCCATAGCACCCAGCCAGCCTGGGCCCAGGACTCTTAGTTTCATCTCTCACAGACACGGAGGCTACATTGGTCCAAGCATGGTAATGAAGTATGAAGATCTCCAGCAATTGGGGAGTGAGGAGAAAAACCAGGAGATCAGAAAAGGTAAGAGGAAAAGAGAAGTGTCCTCTACTAAGTGCACTCTTCGTATGTCTAGCATGATTTCTACTGTCACATTACATCTCACCTCTACCATGTCCAATGTTGGGTCCCCCACTTTGAGGGGGTCAGTCCTAGAACTCTGAGAGCCCAATGTGAAGAGGACTCAAGGTCTTCAGAAAAACAGGGATAGGGAAGAACTCTGTGGACCTAGTTTCCTGTGCTCTATGGGAAGGGGATGAGAGGTATCCTTTGCAGGTAGTTAGTCATTTGTTCACCTGATCATAGGTGAACCTGCTATGGGTCTAGCTGACTCCAACACTGTCAGGGTCCTTGTGCTACCCTCCCCAGCTCTGATGATAAGACTTAACTTTTCTCCATTGTCCATGTCTAAGTCTGCTTATGTGCACTCTGGTTTCTAGGGGTGTGTATATGGGTCTCTCAGGGTATGAAAGGTTCATGTCGCTGGAGACTTGGTGCTGGTGGTGAGGGATCAAAGGCTTGGTCTGTCCTCACCCCATAGTCTTCCTCCTGCTCTCCCCAGCATTACCAGGGCCCAAGTCTCATCCCCAGACAGGTCCCTGAGCCCCCTCCTCTGTCTCTGGTATGTCCTAGATCTCCCTTTTCCTGATACCCTTTTGTCTTTCAGCACCTCCACCCCAGGTTGGCCTCTGGTATATCTTCTCTGAGCATCGCCTCATCCTGTTATCATTGGGCCTCAACCTCCTGCTATTGGTGGCTGTCTGTGTGGTTGGATCCCAAAGTGGGTACTCCAGGGGTACACAGAAATCAAGGGGGTACAGTGGTGGGGCAGGGATGGGGGTAATGGCAAGAACCCCAGCAGAAGCAATGATGGGCATAGTGGAGCAGTGTGGGGCACCATTGAGGGGTCATAATTGGGTGGTTGATGAGAACAGTGGTAGTGAAGGAGCCATGATTGGAATGGCTTTTGGCTGTGTCACTTATTGGTTGGGTTTTGTAGTTGAATTTCTTCTCCTTATTGTGTGATATTGGATAACCACAGTGCCTGCCCCTCTGGCTTGCTGTGAGGACTGAATGAGACAATGTGTGTAAAGGGTCCTGCCTTGTGCTGGCAGAGAGGACCTGATCAATCTTAGTTCTGATCATCTCATCCCCTTCATCAGATTCCAAGTTACACAGGGACCTGGGCACCCTGAGGACAACTTTCAGCAATTTCAGTGTAGACACAGGGGCCAATGTCCAGGCACTGACCTCCCATGGTGAGCTGGGCTTGGGTGGGGTCTAGGCTGGGTGTATGTGTGTGTGGACTGACTCCTGATCTCAAGTCCCTGTTTCCTCCAGGTCAGAGCTTGCAAGAAACCATAACCTCTCTGAAAGCTGAGGTGGAGGATCACAGGCAGGAACTGCTGGCAGGTGAGAGACCTTGTTCTCCAAAAGCATATGGAAGGGTGCGCATGGGAGAAGCATCCTGGTGCTGAGCCCTCTCCCCTCTAGCCCACAGCTTGAACCAGAAGGTAGTTTCAGTGGAGAGCAGCCTGCAGAAACAGGAGCAGGACTTCAAAGCAGGTCAGATGGCTGTTCCAGTGCACCTTGGCATGATGTATTTGTGGGAGCCCAGGAAGATCCTAGTGGGGTGCCTGAGTAGAGTTCATACCCAAAGTACTCTATCAGTCCCCCTGTGTCTGTGTTTCAGGTCAATCTGAGGTGGTCCTGCAAGTACAACGATTGACAAAGAACGTAATATCCCTTAACTGCCAGCTGGCCAATCTCAAGAACAATGGTGAGGAGCTGGGCAGGCATGGCTGGCTCCACTTCACCATTGGTGGTGTGCTAGGCCATTCCTTAGTTCCTCCATTCTCTTTTTCCCCCTCAGGCTCTGAAAAGACCTGCTGCCCCCTTGACTGGTTGGAGCATGAAAGCAGCTGCTACTGGTTCTCTCAATCTGACAAGTCCTGGCCTGAGGCTGACCAGAACTGCCAGTTGCAGAACTCCCACCTGGTGGTGGTCACCTCCCTAGAAGAGCAGGTAAGCCTGGTAGCTCCTCTTATTGGCTGTCTGATGTAAGGGAAAGGTCATCAACCCCTTGTTTTCTCCACAGAAATTCATTGAGAAGCACATGAGCTCTGTGCCCTCCTGGATGGGCCTCACTGACCAAAATGGACCTTGGAGATGGGTGGATGGGACTGACTATGAGAGAGGCTTCAAGTGAGTTTGTGTCCTCTCCTAATCGGGCTTCTTAGCCTGTGTCTCGAAGATGGGAGGGCCTCATGGCTGAATCTGACCTCCCTGGGTACACAGCTATCTCTTGTCTGCAGGTACTGGAGTCCAAATCAGCCTGATGACTGGACTGGGCATGGGCTGGGAGGAGGCGAGGATTGTGCCCACTTTACCAATGATGGTCGCTGGAATGATGATGTCTGCCGGAGGCCCTACCACTGGATCTGTGAGATAGAGCTGGGCAAGACCAGCTAGGAGTCTCCCTCACCTTAATTTATTTCCTCAATGCCTTGAGCTGCCATAGTCTGGATTGGAAATCCTCCTGTGTGGGAGTCTCCACCATTTTGGAGATTTTCATCTAGGATTTTAAGGGTACAGTGATTTTGGAAGGAGGGGGAAGTTGAAACTCATGACACTTTCTGCAGTGTGTGAAGCTTATTTTTGACTTCTCTCTCTTTTTTAAGAATAAAAGGAAAAGAAATATATTTAAACATTCTGTTTAACAGCTGTCTGGTTAGTGGCATTAGGAACTGGGAGGGGCCTGGTTGGCATTGGGAAGACTTGGGCTGGTAAGAGGCATCATGAGAACTGAATGGGTTTGGGGCCAGATGGTCTGGTTAGGAGCCCAGTTTTGTTATTCACAGGTTTTGAACTTGGGCAAGTTATTCTGTTCTATGAAACTCAGCTACAAGACAGGATTGTTAATGGAGACCACCCACTTCAGCAGAAACCCCAGGGCTGAATCCCCTCATCTGTTGAGTGCTTCAAAATACTATGAAACTGACTGGTGTCTGCTGCTTTTGTGATAGTAACCACAAGTTGCATTCAGAGACAGGTGACAAATACCATGAGCACATACAACCCAGAGTCCCTAAACACATGAGGACAACCTGGACCATGAAAGAGAAGTGACAACATTAATAGAATCAATAACCAAGTCTGAGAGTGAGGACAAACCAATTAGGACTTTCAAGACACATACAGAATTATTAACAAAAATGGACAAAGATTTTGTCCATAAATAAGACCTATACTAATTCCAAAAAGAAGCAGTGCTCTGACCATAATAGAACAGTTAGAAATGAACTCAAAAGTACATTCTAAAAAGGTTGTATCAACGTGTAATTTTCTCACCACCTTTCTAAATAATTTTGGGTTTTAGAGAAAAGTCAGAATGAAAAAGTCAAGTGGTCAGAAATGAATGAGAGCACCACTTGCTGACATTGTGGGATGGTCTAGGCAGTTCTAAGGAGGAGGTACATGAAGCCATCACATTTATTAAAAATTGAGCATGGCTGAATTGGAATAAGCTATGTTTTAACTCAAGAAGTCTGGAAAAGAATAGCCAAATAAATCCCCTCAAATAGAAGAAAGAAATTTATGAAATATGAGCAAAAAATAATGAACTAGAAAATAAAAATAGAGCCACAGACACTAGTTTAGAAAGCTGAGAGGTTGCATAAGTACAGATGTAGTGGATATGATAATAAAACACTAAAAAGAGCAAGTGGCTAGGTGTAGTATCTCACACCTGTAACTCCAGCGACACAGAAGGCTGAGGCAGGAAGATTGCAAGTTCCGAGCCAGTCTCAGTGACTTAGTGAGGCTCTGTGTCAACATAAAATATTGAAAAAGGACTGGAGATATATCTCAGTGGTAAGCCCCTGGGGTTCAATCCTCAGTAGCAAAACAAAAACAAAAGCAAAAATCAACCCCCAAGAAACAAACAAACAAGTTCATCTCCTCTTCATGATAAAATATTTCAGGACTTTGGGGGCTTCTATCTTGTTGCTTCACTGTTGCTTTCACCACCCATTCCTAGATACCTGCCCCAGTCATGACACACTCCAGACCAGGGAAAAGAGAAGGACAGTGGCACATTCTCTCTCTATGTCCACAGACAATTCTGAAAGTTGTATGCACCACTTCAGCTTATATCTCTTGGATCATAAGTAGTGTCAGGGCCACAGTTGGTTGAAATAAGGAGGTGCTCTTCTTATTTCACGAGGTCAAATTCCAGCTAAAATCTAGGAGATTCTGTCATTGTAGAGCAGGAGTCAATTACTTTTTATCTTATCCATCGATCCTTTTTAAAAAAACCTTTGATGATGCCAATAATTCATTTCTGATGTGCTGTCTTTCTCCATTCTGAATGCCTGAAATGATACTTCTCAAAATCTTGGGTACACAGGTTTCATTTCATATTAATTAGATAAAGAAATAGAATTGGTGCAAAGAATTGGGTCCTTTTCTATGAAGTAAGAATCTGAGAACTCCTTCCCTCCCCACCTAAAGTCACTGGCTTTATTATAAATAAATCCTGTGGAACAGTCACTGGATGCATAGTCTGTGGGGTTGGAGAACATCCTGTGGAACAAAACCTAGTGTTCCTGATTTGCTAAGTGCGGCCATTCAGTGATGTATTTCTTCCAGTTGTTTCCCTTGTGATCTTTTTGTCAAATACAATAACTTCAGCATAACTCATGCCTTCAGCATACTTCATTGTGTATGCAGGGTTTTCAATTATAGTGCTTATGCTGTCATTTTTGACAGGATAATAATTACAGGTATAAATAGCTTTCTTTCTGTAATGGAACACCAACTAAAAAAGAAAGTAGAAACCAAGCTACCAAAATATTTGATATTATTACAGTTTGGAGAAGTGTTCCAGGAAGGCCCATCTGTTAAATGCTTGGTCCCCAGCCTGTGAAGCTATTGGCAAGTGGTTGAGATGGAACCTCGTGGAAGGTGTTCTGGTCACTGGAGGTGTGCCCTTGAAGAGGATATTTGGATGCCAGCCTCTTCCTTTTCTTCTCTCTTGCCTCTAGCCATGAGATAAGGGCTGCTTCTGCCACATGCTCCCATCATGATATACTTTTGTGACTTGCCACAGGTCCCAAAACAATAGAGCCAAACAACCCTGGTCTGAAATCTCTAGGACTGTGAGCTAAAACGAATCTTTTCTCTTTTCAAGTTTATTATCTCTGATATTCGTGATGATAACAGAAGCTGACCAACATACTTAAAACCAAACACAATTAGTTCTTTTCCATGCAGCAGGTAATAATAATAATAATAATAAAAGTATCTATGTACTTGCTATTTCTTTTCCAAATCAATGGTGTGGAACAAACAGTGAGAAACCACTGTCCTCCATGCTGAGTCATCTTGCAACATGTTTGGACAAGTATCTTATGCAGAGGAGAAGAATTGTTCTTTTCTTTTCTCTTTTTTTCCTTTAGTACTAGGGAATCAAGCCAAGGGCCTCATGCATACAGCTTTAAGGCCAGATTCTTTAGGACCCAGCCCAGTTCTTGCTGAACTCCAGATTAGCCAAGTGAAGAATGTTGATAAATGCAGACCAAGGTCACGTTAGGGCCATATTAGTTGTGCCAACAGATGGTTCTAGCAAGTCTCTCATATTTATTACTAACAAGGAGGAAATAGAGGAGGTAGGGAGGAGGGGGAAGGGGAAGGAAGAGTCTCAGCCCTCTGGTGGAGAGTAGAGGCTGCAGGAGGTGGGGAAAAGAGAGAGAGAAAACCCAATTTAACAAACCAAGCAAATGGAAGTGAAATTGTCCTCCTCAGGGTGCCGTGCCAAGCAGAAAGCCTTCCAAAAAAAAAAAAAATCCTCCAATCACTGGAACATTCTTCCTTACCAATAATACCACCTCTTCAGTTTGGCTTTTGAGCTCAGCAGGTGTCTGGTTGCTCTGAGGGATTCTCAGTGGTACCTTGGCTTTCTTTCTTTTCTTTTTTTATTTAATTTTAATATATTTTTTTTAGTTGTAGATGGGAACAATATTTTATTTATTTATATGTGGTGCTGAGGATTGAACCCAGTGCCTCATACATGCCAGGCAAGCACTCTACCCCTGAGCCCCAGCCCCAGCTCATTTCTTCCCAGCCTTCTCTGCTCACTGCCAGTCAGCTCTGATGTGCCTGGTAAGGTTTGCAAACTGATGGAGAAAAATAAAACCTACCTCCCACAGCTGTTGCAGCCAACTTTCCAACCTCCTGGAATATAAAACCGCGTGCTCCCTCCAGGGACGCCTCCAATTGACAGTGGGGTGGCCATGCTAGACTTTTGGGCAGAAAGCCCAGATTCCTGCCTGAACATGGCTGTTTTGTAGAAAGACCTGCAAGGTATAGGGACTCAAAACTTCCTCAGTGTTCCCTGTGACTGGATACAGCCAGCTATTCTGGTGAGCTGATCTCCCAAGGACACAGCAGGGGCTCTGTGCTGTCCTTTCCCACTGTGCTACCCCTGTGTGGGAAAAGACCTCTCACTCTTTTGTCAGTGACTCCCCTCATCAGTGATCTTAACCTCTTTGATTCAGCATTGTAATCACTCCTTCCACACCCCCAATTCCCTTGCTCCTCTTTCCCAATTTCTCGCCAGGCAAAACTCCAACTTCGGTTAAATTCTTCTTTTCTCTTACTCTATTCCTGTACCAAGTGGCCAAATATGGCTGTAGGAAAGAACAACAATCAATAACAAAAACCATCCTGACATGAGCGCTTGCCCGACTCTAAAATTTGGACCAATTTCAAGTGAACCATCAAGGCTGCTTGGCCAAATCCTCTTAGTCAATCCATTCTCAATCTCTCCAAAATCATTGTTTCCTTGATTTGATTCTTCTCACATTCAGGTAGTGACTTTGCTTCTGATTTCACTGGGAAAAGGCAGCAATTAGCTGAAAACAACCCCCTTGTCCCTGTGGTGAACATAGCTAGATAGTCACTGATCCATCTCCTGTTATGGATGCAGGGACCCTTCATTTCCTGGCCTCCCAGGTTGGCTGGGGCAATGTAACTGGGGTTCTGGCCTACACTACTTCTGAAGTGGACTGTAATGTGTTATGCTTGGTCCTTCTCACTCTTTCTCTTTGCTTCTCAGCTGGCCAGATGGAAGGAATCCCAAGAGTGCCTATGAGGAGGGCCTGAAGGACAACAGAGCCATGGATGAGGAGTTGGATCCCTGAGTCACTCCAGGAAGGAAACTTGATCTGCACTTGATGGTGCTGTGAGAACAACAAGGAAAACACTTGTGCTAAACCACCGAGATTTGTTCTTTCTTTAGCAACTAAGTCAATTTATTTACTTTCTTACTTTCAAATATATCAAACCGCCCTGGGGCATACTCTCTGCCTCTATCAAAGGCCATGAAGCCAGCACCCACTCACTTTTTCCAGGGCTTACCTCTTCTCTGCAGCAAGTTTTCCCTTGATGCTGAATCATTCCCGTGAGCTTACAAATAAGTTCTCATCACTCCCATGGTGTGGAGGGCATGTATCCCTTCAGCATCCCATTTCTTTGCTTCCCCTTAGAGTAACTCTTTAGGGGTCACTGTGACAACATAGCTGAGAAAACCAACTTAAGGGAGGAAAGATTTATATTGGTTCATGGTTTCAGAGCTTGCAGTCCATAGTTGCTTGGTCCCCATCACTGTGGGTTTATGGTGAGGCTGAACATCATGGCAGAGATGGTG